GACTTGAATTTTAAGGGCATATAATCTCGAACATGGAGATCATGAACATGAAAAAATAAATAAATTTTAAAGACGAAGAGTAATAATTCTAGTAAAAAACCATTTGGACCGTTAGTTTCCATTATTTTTAAATGAAACCCCAACTTGCATCCATCTTAGAAATGGATGCTTTACACGTTTTTGGACCGCATATGTAGTCATGCAGTCCAGCCCCAGGAAGAGAGCATTTTCCAATTATAAATGGCCTTCACGACTTATACAAGCATCACTCCATTTCAAGTTGGCCCTAGTTGTAAAAAGGAAAAACTTTATAAAGACAGGCTTTGAATGGAATCATTTAGGGTTCATAGGGTGGGACCTAGCACTCCCAAGTTCAAAAATGCAAGCTTAGTATTGTCCTGTCTCTATTGGTCCCATTAATTACCACTTATTTGTATGATGGAGGTTGAGGGTTCAACGTCAGTATCGCATGGTGACAAACTTAACTACCCAAACATTTTTCTTTTTCTTTTTTAAATAAAAGAAAATGGATGCCACAATTACCATGATTTCTAACCGGAAGACATTGTCAAATGGACATGAGCTTCAAAAATTAGTTAAAACAACATAATCTTTGAAGAGATGCCATTATGCAATTGTTCTCAAACCTAATGATCAATTAGACGATCGACAAAATTTCATATTCAAAGTATTATTATTGCAAGCAAATGAAGTAATTGGTTAGGCGACTTTTACACCTTGCCTGATATATACCCATGTACCACAAATACAATTCACTTTACAAAGGGTAAATAGAATTGGTCTCCCTTATTTCTTATATACATGCTCTTGCATAAGCATACTGTACATTTATTCCCTTGTGCAAAAGACTGATTTGGGAAGATTTTTTTATCGAAAATTTTGGAAGCAACCTAAATATAACAAGATGCTTAGGGGAAATTTTGATTTTTTGAGTTTTGTAACACTTAGATCTCACCTTTCAAAAATTGGAAAATGCAATTTGGAAATTCTTTTATTGAGTGTAGCACATGGCTTGAAGAGATTACATCCCCAAAAATTAGAGGTCTTAAAAATACTCCTAGCTTGGATTTTACCTGATGGAGTTAATAGAGAATATGCTCCCTCAAGAACATAAAATCGTTTGGCTAATCTTTTATAAGAGAGGAGTAACTCATTATGCATGATTGACTACAACATGATGGAATTGTGTGAAATAACATCACTAAGGAAAACTTGTGCATCCATTCATTATGAATTAAGGGAAAGTTTAGGGGATGAGCAATCCTGATTGGAGGCCACAGGTGTTTAGTCTCCCATATAACAGAGGCCCTTTTTTTCACATCATTGCATTTGATTGGGACAAAGGGAAGGAAAAAAATTTACATTCCCAATGACAAAAGTATGACACCTAAACTGGCGTCACTACCACATCCCTTTTAGGGCAACCTCACAATCTCAACATGCCTTTATTATCATGAACATAGGGACCATATCTATTGTAAAGAACAAAAGCTAATAATAAGTTGTCACCTAAAATAAATAGTAATTTAGATTATACTCCCAGCTGTCGATGGTTGAAGATACAAGTTATTATTTAAAGGAAAAAGTTTATATAAGGTTGCAATTTTAAAATGTAAAATTATAAATGTACTTAAAAAATCCATCGAAAAATGTTGTTTTAATGTTAAAAACCACTCTAATTGATCATCTCGACATCGGCTTGTATGAATATAAAAAAAAAAAAGATTTCGAGTCTCAGAAATAGTTCATCTTGCAACACCTTATCTAGACTGTCCGTTTTCAAGATTTTCATATGTTTAGAGATCTACTTGATTTTAACGATTTTTTT